TTTAAGACTCTGGCTAGGTCAAACAAATCATATCTCACTAACTACAGTATATCTTATCAGGAAACAGAGTACATTGGGTTTTGTGGTTATGTCATAAGGCCAAGTGTAAATACAGACAGTGCTGTGTAGCTACACTAACAGGTGCCGAGTCTTGGGGTCTCACCTGCTTGGGGAAATCGTAGAAGACACCGATGGAGCTCAGCTTTGGCCCAATGCTGCAGCTCTCTGTGTAGGCTGCACCGCAGTCCTTGTAAGATCCCTCTTTGAACTTATAAGCAATAGTAACATTTCTGATAGGAGGTGGCCCAGTCTTTATAATCACGTCAGACAGGAGTCCCGAAACCAGCAGGAAACCCGCCACTGTCACAACCAAACACACCAGGAGCACGACTAACAGCAGCACCAGGATTAAATCAGACATGGTTTCTCAAAGCGGTACAGCTGCAGTCAATGCAATTATTAGCAAAAATGTGTCAAGCCTAAACGTCCTCCTCCGGGTCACATGCACCAAGACTGTAGTCCAGCAGAATCAAACGACATACACACACACACATACAAAAAAAACGTGACTATTCAAGAGATAATGTTAAATTCAGGGTCGTAATAACCTCGCACGAAACACTCGTTCAAGCTGACAGGAAAGACAGTTTGTTTACGTTGTTTTCCCAAACAGTGGAACATGCTTCCTGAATAGACCATTCTCTCCTAAAGAAGAGGTGGCTGTGAGTGTAGCGTTTTAACGACTACGCTGCATAAATTAATCACACCATCAGAAAATAAAACCTACATATAACAGTAAACAATCAATAGATATTGTTCCTCTTGATCAATGTAAACCTTAGTTGATTATTGATAAAGCATGCGCATTCATGACAAAGACACCCCTCTTTTCATCGCCATGGTCCAACCCAGAAGGTTGAGCAGAAAGACAATAGAGTGCTGTAACAAAAAGCCGTTTTTTTCTGTATTTCCATATATGTGTGTGTGTGTATATATTTGTTCTTTCACCGATCCCGGGCTCTGGAAATTATGTGAAGGACTTATCTAAATGATGTAAGGGCTGTTACACAGTTTTCAGTGCTGCTTTTAGGAATGTAGAGTCAAACAACCAGCGTCAAAGTCCTGCTGAGTTCATCAAACTATGGAAATTCATAAAAATATATATATAAAGCTAAATAGAACACACATTTTGAGCAGAATCCAGTGGACTTGAGTGTGTTGGGGCAGATTTGGAGGCCCAGAATAGGTAGGACCGAATATGTGTTGCTTTTCAAAGCAAAAAGTACAGCTTTCTTTGCTCACTACAGCAAGTTACATTCAGAGGTGGCCTGTAAGTTTTGTCTGTTAATACTAGGTCTGACTTACAAAATTTAAAGCTGCATTAATCAATCTTTTGCCACTAAGGGACAAAAACTACAAAGCCAGCTGATATGTACACAGCTGCTCCCATATCATACAGTAGAGGTCCTCCCTGGTCCACTTGGTTCCTGGGATCCAGGATCTGAGTCGGGCCAGGTCCAAATTGTTTTTATCAGCTCTGACCCAACTAGATCATGTAGTGTGTCATAATCATGTTGATGCAAGATAACATGAACTGTAAAGTGGAGGGGGAAATGACTGGACTGTTTGGGGCACCGCATTTTGGATAAGATAATATCCTCGGGTGTTTTTAGATGGGGTCCGATTGTCTTCAGGTCTCTTTTAGATGGCCTAAGTTACCAAGTTTGAAGGGGTTGATGCAGGCCGCTCAGACTTCCCCATTCATCAAATATAAGTCCAAAACAACGAGTTAAAAAAAAGCAAAAAAATCTCAGTAGGGCTGCAGACAGGGCTGGACTGATAATCTGGTATACCGGGCAAATGCCCGGTGGGCCGAAGCACCTTTAGGCCCGGTGTAATTTAAATTATTAATTTATATAACGATTTTTTAAAACTGGGCAAACGATTGGCCCATAAAGCACGGACAGCAGCCCATTGGGTAATTTTCTATACTGACATTGGGCTAGCCCCCACCCCCTCTGCTCTCTGTGTCTTGGTTTGCGGGCAACAACAAAAAAAAACATTCTTCAGATGGACGCAGCCAAATGCGCGAAAACAACCGGTATGTTTGCTACCGGGGCTGCTGTAGCTTCAACATCAGCTGCAGTACTCTGCGTAGTGCAGGCACAGGCACTTGAAGGAGTAAAGGAGAGCCGTGGCCCCTGCCAGACAGAGGCATGAGACAGCGAAACAGAGGGACAAAGTGACAGGGCGGGGGGACAGAGAGAGCAGGAGGAGAGTGGAGGTGAAGTGGTAAACATAGAGTAGCTCAACCTGTAGGGAGGGAGCGGGGGGGTCATTTACACTGGGGACACTGGGGACATGTAGCCACCACGTTTTGAAAGCTTTTGTTAAAAATGTTCTGAAAAATAGCTTGCACCAAGAAATGTTAAATAACCAATTAAAATGCTATGAGAAAGGTTTATTTACACGTAAGAAAACCTGCAATGCAATGTTAATATAGAAGAAAAATATGTTGTCCAAAAAAAGTCACCTGCCACCTGAATTGTGTGCTTACCTTTATAAAAATAAAGACATTTCCACCATAAATTGGTGCAGAATGCAGGAAATTAAGTGTTTAATGCTCAAAATCTTCAGGGGAGGAGCCTCAGACCCCCCTTTCAAATATTTCATCTATAAATATTTTTTATAAATAGTAGGTCTATTAAAAAATATTCTTGTCTTGTAGTCATGGACACCAAGCTTGTGCTAAGTCACGTCTCAGTGTTTCATCACACCCCTAATCTGACCCCCTAAATGGATAGATGGTGTATTGGTGAGGGGTGTTGGACCGATTTTGGTGGGCCGCCTCAACCAAAAATGCCAGGGCCTATTTTTTTGACCCAGTCCAGCCCTGGCTGCAGACAGTCCTTTTAATAGAACATTTTTAATGTTAGCATTTAATCAAAGCATTTAATCAAATGCTAACATTAAAAATATTGATAAAAGCAGGTTTCACTTGAGGGCAGAGTAGAATCAAAGAGGCTGAAGGGTTAGGCTGCCCAAAAACATTTGGGACTCAGGCCAAAATAAAGGGTACATCATGTAAAGAAATGTATGCTATGTAGAAGCGGTATTGTATCATTTTTGCTAACAGTCAGATCTACCCACGCCCCACATGTACAGTGAAATTTCACTAGCTTTACACATCATAATACCAACATCTTGGTAAAATCTTGGGATTTGCTTTGTTTGTGTCAATAGGAGATATATTAGTTTTTATATGAGACTCTCCCACTGACAAACCAGAAAAACTAGAACAGGTTACGTTGCAAATCTTCTGTGTGAGTTCCTAAGAAGGCTCATTGGTCAAATTAATTTGAACTGAAAGTGAAATGTCATTCTGCAGGCACTGCCTCCTCAGCGATGTAATTTGCAGTGTATGTTCATAAGCTTCTTAATTTCTTAGCATAGAGTATAGACTAAGAGGTATCTATTAGTGTACCTATATGTGGTTACTGGGCTATGTGTCCCAGTAAGGTTACCGTTTAGAGATAGTGGTTTGGAAATCTTTACTTTAATTTCCAAAACGCTTGGAATAGTATAAGTTAGTGCTGTTTTATCCTACAACACCCAAGTAGTACATTTATTTAAATTCAAAACAGGTATGCATTATGGTGGTACAGCTTTACGAGTTAAAACTGAAGCAATAACTTACAGAGAACAGAGCAGCATTTGCAGATCATTTATGAATATATTGAGGTACAAACCCCACATAGTTTTGGCAATAATAAACTTCAATACAAAACTGCGAAGTCAAACTTGAAGGAAGGATGATGTTCTTTCACTGCTTGAGCCCTACAAAACCAACATGAGAGCTCAGCAACATTTACAATATGCTGGAATATCTTTATTACCTCGCTACCCATCAAAGAGCAGCAGCACATTTTTATAAAATATCATACAGCTCAGATTTAATTCTTGAATTAAATTTTTTACCTGCCTCATGTTGTTTACCTGTAACTTGGTGGTGATGTGACAGACCAGAGCAGTGAAACAATGTGGCTTTTCATGTTAAATAAAAGCTAGATAAAAAAAATAAAGATAATGCTATATGTACAAGTGGGAAGTTATTAGTGTCGAACTGTAGCAGAGACTGAAAAGGACACAATTGTATTACCTTGGTGTTAATAAAAAGTGACACATTAAGCCTATACAGGATAGAGCATGAGGCCATTTGTGACATAATGCTCAATATAAACCCTTTTGTAACCCTGAAGAAATCAGTCCAATCCTTTAACCACCAGGATTTGTCACAGAAAACTGAAATGCATGCATTGAAAAGATTTCTGCAAACTGCAGAAGACTACTTGTTTATAATGTAATGCAAACATTTCTCTTGGATTTCACTTTATATAAGTCCTGACTTTTATGGATCGTTAGCATTATATCATGTTTCAAATCCTGTTTTAAAATATTCATTGAGTCTCCAGGACTCACTTAAAACTTATGCTAATCACTGCTGTCCTCCTTTATGGGATTTTCCAGGAACTAAGATCTTGGTGTTTAGTCTGTGTACTGTGGTGTTCTTTTCCCAAGCTTCACTAGTTTTGCCCATTTAAAGTCAGTGTTCTTACAAAGTATAATCTCTTTATATCAAACTTTCAAATTATTTTTTTGATTTTTTTTGGGAGTGTTTCCGCTTTATTTGGTCGTGACAGTAGAGAGAGGCATGGGAGTGAGAGGGGATAGCAGGCAGCAAAGGGCCTGGACCGGACTCGAGCCCAGGCTGTGCTGCTGGGGTGTCCAAAATGATTTATTGTCATTGTAAAAGTAGAGTTATGAAAAAAACAATAAGGACAAGCTGTTTCTTAAAAAAATAAAATCACAGTTTTGTTTATCACAGACAAGACCTGAAATTGACAATGGCCTATAGATTAAGAAATTCTAAACAGTTTCATCATATTTGTGTGATTATAATCTGCATCAAAAAGCATGAAAAAAAACAGACGGAAACAATGTCTTAACAATCTATATTTTATTTTGTCTACAAACAAATAGATTTAAACAAATAACACTTTTTTTCCAGAAGCCTACCTAATGTGAAAACACACCTAATTATTAGGCACGTTTTATTTTCGACAGGACAGAAAACCTGTAAAACTGCATAAATGAATCTCGTGAAGTTTTTCTGTGCTTGCATAGTTATTACCACATACCTAAGAATACAAGAATTGTTGTTACATATTGGCATTATTGATCCTAAACCTGCACCATTGCCCATTTTGAAGCAGTATTCAATAAATTTAGAAAGTTTAACAAAGATGGTAAAATGACTTGAAACATCAAAATGCAAAAAGATTAAAATCAAAACCAACAGTTTATTGTTCTGGTAGTTAGAAAGTGTTAGTCAGAATCATCTGTAATATCATCTTGATCTACATCTTCATCAATGTTGACCTTCTTACTTTCCTCAGAGTCAGTCTCCTGGGCCTGTTGGAAAGCACATGAAAAACATTTGGCGAACATGCAGAGTTAAAGCTATGAACCTGGTTGCATTAAGCGGCCTTAAGGAGAGACTACATAAACCGACACCATATCAAACCTTTTCACTGTTAACTGTGTCAGCCACTAATCATTAGCGTGCTGGAGAGTTCTACTTGTTAATTTATCAGCCCACTGCACTCTACAGTTTTATCTACGTCTTACAGGTCAGTGAAGAGGCAGTGGTTTAAACTTTAAGCAACGACCAACTCAGCTTGCGGTGGAAGATCTGTGTTTGGCTAGCTTACATAACTGACTGCATTACTACTGTGTGCTGCCGGTTCTTTAAAATAAAACCTTTAAATCCTTTGTTTAGTTTTAAGTTAAATTATTTACATATTTTTCCTATTGTTATCAAAGTTTACAAGGTACATGCCCTGATTTTGTTGTAAGTTTTGCAGAATCTCCAAAATTCCTCCTAGGTTGTTGTTGTTGTTGAGACATTTCACACATTCTCATAAATGTACCCAATACCTGTTGGACTTTGTAGTTTTAAGACTATTTTAAGTTTTGTTAAAAAGGGACACAAATATCTGTGGTGCTATTTGTCAAGTCACTGCTGATTGTGGTAAATTAAGTCATACTGTCTCAAAATGTTGCAAAATTAAACATTTTTATTTCTCCATGTCAAAATGTTCAATTATTAAAGGATCATTTTGGTAATATTAAACTTGGGCCCTATTTTCATTTATCTTGGAGTTGAAATGATGAGTAGGCCCAAACAGTTTTGGAGTCCGTGCAGTAGATGGCTTCAGCCGGCAGCCTCAAACTGGGTGCAACATATTCCACACAAAATGTGTAACAATAGGCCCCAGGATTTAAAATACCAAAATTATCCTTTAATCCATTGTCGTGCATGATAAATACAAACAATAAAATGTCTAAATTAGAACAAATCTCCTGGGAGTCAATCCTATTCCTGTAACAGATGGAAATGGTAGGTACCTCGTCCTCTGACTGGTCCTGAGGCAGCGGTGAATGTTGCTCCTCATCCTCATCATCCTCACTTCCTTGTGACCTCTGAGAAAGAATCTCTTCACCCTGCAGTGGATATTGTTCCTCTAAGTGAATGTCTCCAATATGAACAGTGACACATACAGAAGCTGCGCAATGTTGTACCTTCAGGTTGCGATTCTTCAGGTTGCCGATCCAAAATGCCTCCTGACAGTTGTTGAGCGTCAGCATGGCCTTCACTCTGTAAACAAACAGCTCCAGGCTCTTCTTTAAGGCTGGTACATGGTTGGTCAGGCTCATATCCTGGTGAATCTGAGCACCAACACATCATGACAAGGCAACTTAGGTATAAAGCACGAGGATTTTCATATGCTCTGTCAAGACTGACTGCCTTTATCCTAATTTACCAGGAAGACGTTCTACTCCCGGACTGGCAGATCTGGCACCAGTGCAATGCAGAGAGATGTCTCAAACTAACTAAATTAGAAAAGAGCTAGAAACGGTGTGATCTGTAGCTACCTTAGAATGTCCACACAAGTGATGGAGCTGCCGGGTGCTGAGCTGGAAGGTCTTTAGCAGGCTCTGGACATCCTCCTTAAAAAAACAACGTATCACACAGTCACCTTTCTCTTTCGTTTTATGTTTTTACACACAGCAACACAGAATGTTTTTCTGTGCTTAGCCGTACTCTAATGCCAACCAATTTTTGAATGATACAGGGAAGCAGAAGCAATAAACTAGAAATTCTTATGTAAGTACTAACTATTCTGTCTGCTTAATACAATGTCCTCTAATACAACAGTTACTGAAGATCTATGGTTATTAAAATCTAGTTGTCTAAATAACCAACATTAGTAAACTATATTGATTAGATTAGCATGACAGACAGTCATGAGCGACCTGCTAATTGACGTTGGCTTATACAAACGAGGCAAATTCCCCTGATGAAAATGTACTGTGGTGTTTGCAGAAGTAATAACATCAAGGTCAACTGTGTAATGAATACACAATTTAACGTTCAGTTTAATATGACATTCACTAGCTGTATTAGGTGACAGCATTTCATGTGTACCTTGTGCCTTTTGAAACTGTTGTCCAGTAGCGGCATCCCCAACTTCAGGAAAGACTCCAGGAAAAGGCGGCCGTACTACCAAAAACAACATTATAAATAGTTAATACTAAGTCACAGCAGCTTTACCTGGATGTGAAATCTTTTTCAGCATGCACACCCACTCACCTTTAGGCACACATTGAGCACCGGCCTAGAATCAAACACCTGCAAGAAGACATTACAGGGGAAAAAAAGCAGATGAACACATGCATTAACTAACAAAACCATGAAAGATCAGATGGCATAAAGATTAAGTGATAAAGACGACTTAACCTGCAGTATGAGCTACCCAAAACTAGTGAAATACAGTATCAGGAAAAAGCTGACCCAGTACTTGGCTGAATGCTGGACATCAATGAGGTCAAATGTCAAAATCAGTACGAAAGACATTGACAGACCTTAACTAAGTTGACCAGGATATGAAAATCTCTGACAGCCAGGTTCCATGTCAGCAGCTTCTCACTCTGAGCCTTGAAGGAAAATGTGGGTTACATGTAAGTATGTAACACACACACACACACACACACACACACACACACACACACAAGATTATTGAGGAAAACTAACTAGTTATTTGATCTTAAAGTTGCACTTGCTTAAACTGGCATTCACCAATGTACAAATGTGTAATTGTGTTCTGTGATTACGTTGAGCTCCAAGGTATACGCTGTATGCAAGAGAACACGTTGTGCAGTGAGACACCTAGTGGCTGACCTCAGTGTTGTCACTGATTTTGCAAGCAGGAATTTTCTTGACAGCCTTTTCCAGCTCTGCCATCAACACTTTATAGTACACCAGGAATGTCTGCCTGAAGAAAAATGAAAAAAAAATGGAAGAATGAACAGCAGAATTTAAACAATATGGATAAATCTACTGTGAATGAGGTAGCAAAGTGCTGCTCACAAGGGTCCTTCCATTTTGCTCTGAGACTACTAAGCACAAAGGACGGATGGTGATGGGGATCTACCTGCTGAGAGTGGGCCATGATGCAGCGCTCTCCTCCTTTGATGCATTGAGGAGCTCAGCGATTCCTTCTCCAGCTATTTCCTCCACTGCCTTCAGAACATCATCGACATGCTCCAGGTAGATGCTGCAAAAAGACGAAAAAAGACAAATCATAATTACAGATTTCAGATGCTTGTTCACAATTATAACACAATTACATATCATAAAAATTGTGTTAACAAGCAAATGTGCAAACATTTCTAGGTGCTTGGGAAAAGAGATGGGGTCAACCATGTATGGTTGGAGACAGTGAAACAATTCTGACTTTAATAATTCCTTCAAAGTTTAACATTTGTGTGTTGTAGTCAAAGTGCTGTGTAACAGAGAGAAATGCTTAACAAAACACTGACTTCATTCAACTACACTAAAAAAAACTTTGTATGTGGATGGACAGCACACCATCCTGGATTTAATACTTCTTTGTTTCTACTGCACTGCATGGTGTGTATTAAAGAGCCACAGGTAATTTCCCTAAACAGTTTGCATTGCAAATAACATCTCTCTCTCTCTCTCTCTCTCTCTCTCTCTCTCTCTCTCTCACACACACACACACGACAATATAAACTTTTTATTTGATTATTTTTGTGTTAGCTAGAGCCTGCCCAATACTGGAATTTTAAGGCTGATACCTACATAGATGTTTGAGGCCTTTTTTCCAGAAAATTTTACAGTTGGAAAACTCACTTGTCATCACTCTGATGGTCAAACTATGTAACAGCAACATAATTTCTAAATTACCACAAACTTCCCCATTGGCATTTCTGTAAAGCAACATCTTGTTAGTTATCAACCATCATAAATACTGATAGATGCAATTTTTTGTTTTGTTTTGTGATAGCTGGCCATTTGTGACAGGCAGACGCACCTCAGGAGAGTGTGAAGTGCTTCATTGAATTTGTTCCCTCGCTCCTTCTCTCCGCTGGCTGTCACCCAGTCTTGGCTCAGGAAACGTTTTGCAAGGGAAGCTAGGAAGAAAACTCAGCCAATTATCACCACAGCCACACTGGATAGTAGATACGTTAGATTTTAAATGAGGTAACGTGTCAGACTGACTGGTCTGCTCTCTGTAGGCAGCAGGGTTCCCTCCTTTCTCAGACACAGTGGACAGCACCCGGGAGAGACACAAGGCTGTTCTGAGACTTGGCATTGTGCTGCGGAAGTTCACCAGGTACTCAAAGCTGTGTCTGGACAAAACAAAAATAGGTTAAAGATACTTTTCATTCTGTCCTCACACACTTGTAAAAAGTGGTTCTTTATTTAGTTACACAGAGAATTTTGCTGTATTGTGTATTTCAGATGTTTCCTGGCATTCTAAACAAAAGGGATCCTGTATTTACTATATTTAGCAGTGAAAGGCCACTACAGCTGACTGAATGTGATAAACAAAATAGATCAATAGGTAAATAATGAATAAGCATTGATCATTAATAGTAGTTAGTCCTCTCTGGCTCTTAAATTTTATCACTCACTTCACAAGCTGCTCCAAGGTCAAATCAGCACCTCCCTCTTTTAGTCGTCCAGCCAAAACTCCCAGAGCCTTCTTCAGTAAGCTCCGCTGTCCCGGCTGGCTGAATCCAGACCTGACAAATAACACAAATACATGGACACATATCACAGACACGCTGACACTTCCAAAGGAATACTGCTCTCAAGTGAGTGTTGCTGGTCCTCCTCACCAGCTGAAGGTGGAGTTCAGGACCTGCAGGAGCAGCTGGTAGCCTGATGACATCAGCTGGTGCTCCTGAACATCTGTGGCAGGCCCGTCCACGACGCCGTTGTTCTCAGACAGCAGTGTCTGGGGGGGTGCACAAATGTATGCCAAAACAGAGAGAATTCTTTATAGACGCATGGAAGAGATCTTCACATCTGTCTAAAGATTGTTTGTGTTTGTACCTGAAAATGGTTGTGGCAGTTCTCCAGGTGTGAGCAGAGGGCGGGCAGCAGCTGGACGCAGCAGGAAGCAATATCCTTCGAGCTCCTCTGTTGTAGATGGGAGAAGCCCACACTCTTATCAGTCCTTCCCTGCAGAAAAGACAGAAAATATTTCAGTAAGTGTTGTCTTATAAGCCTGCATATTACAGATTTATACAGTTGACACTCTCAGATTCAAAAAGTTTAAATTCATCAGGCCTTCATTTGTCTGCATCAAAAACAAAGTCTAGGAAAACAATATTGATGTGCACTGTTTATTGTGACAGAATAATGGTTTCCCCCCCATAGACATTGTGAAATGTTTTCAAAAGCTGCACATTTTCTCACATTGCATTTCAACGGCTTTCATGACTTCTCTGGTCTGTGTTTGTCGCTGTACGCATTACTTTTGATCCTGTACCTTGAAGAAAGGGGCTCTCTTGGCAGGGGCAGCTGTAAGACTGAACTCCAGTTTGCGAAGCATATCCTCCAGCAGGAAAACCAGCTCAGCGGGACCCAGCAGAACCTCCTCTCGCACCTCAATCATGTAAGAATATTAGAAGAGATGTATAACTTCCTATGTACTGACGAATGTGGTTCACACAAACAAACAGATTCCAAAAGGTGATCTCAGTGTCAAATGAAGGTTGAGTAAAAAGGCCTACTCTCCTTTTTCTGTTATTCCTTTTCTTACCTTGGTGTGCAGCTCCGAGTCCAGCACTGAACGGGACAGCAAGCCACACTGCAGCACACTCAGCACCTCCATGTCCAGCTCCCTGAAAAACGGTCTGTAGGAGACCAGACTGACACCTTGCCGGATCTCCTTTTCTTTCTCCTTCTCGGGTTGCTCCTTTAGCACAAGCAGAATCACCTTCTTTTTTTGTGGTCATTTACGTTAAAACAAATTAGAGGGGTAAAGGTTTACCTGCTGAGTTTTGTCTGCTTCAGTCGCCTCCTTAAGCTGAGAGCTGCTCCCTGTGGAATTCTTACCAGGGGCCTTCCTCTTCTTTCCTGAGCCATCTAAATAACATATGCGAGTCAGACAATTATGTCTGTACTGATTTCTTTATTCAGAGTGTTTGGTTTCAGTAGTGCAAAGTACAATATATTCTGTTGGGCATGGTTACCTTTCTTTGCCTTATTCACAGGAGCAGTGGAACTAAGTACAATCCCATCTGTGCTTTCGCCATCAAAGTTGGCAACAGGTGGAACATAGCCAGGTATTGCTGAAACACACATTAAAGAAAATATACATCATTAAAGCTTTAGTAGAATTGACCACAGTGGAGGGAGTGTGAGATCCCAAGTAGTGATGGATCAACAACTCACCCGCCAAAGCCCTCTCCAACAGCGTCTGAAGGTAGGTGATGTTCTGCAGACGAGTCATCACTTTCATCTTCATCTCAGTTTCTTTTTGTTTACAGAAAGCATTTATGACCTGTCACAAAACAGGGGTAAGGCACGGTTTTGATCGCCTACTTTTGAGGTAAAAAAAAAAAAAGTTGTACAAAACTCTTTGACGTTAACTCGCAGTTACCTCTCTGAACCAGTTGATGGTGTGAAAGATCAAAGCACAGAGGAACTCCCTCTCAGCTTTAGATAGGCTCTCCATTTTCTCTACTATGTCCATGTCTGTCAGGATCAGAGGGCAGCCTATGTCCCAGCAAATGCAAACACACAGGTGCAAATTAGTTTACAGCCGCAGAAATGAGAATAAACTGGCGTCCAAGAGAAATGTGTTACTTCCACTTCCTCACCCAGCAGGGCGTCGATCTCCTCGAGGTCTCCCTGGTGCTGTTTCTCCTCACAGACTCTCAGGAGGCGAAAAAAGGGTGACAGGCAGAGAGGAGACACTCGCCTGCCCCCACAAAGTATTATATATATTGCACAATAAACTGATGTTTTAAATCTGACTACTGTAAGTGAAATACATCATTGACTAAATATTTTGTTGACTGACTTGTGTGCTTTCTTGGTTTGACTCTGCTGCTCTCCTTTGTTCTGGACGTCACTGGCCAGTAGAGGCAGCAGGTTGATGGCAATGCCTCCCTGACTCTCCTCCTCATCCAGGTTGTACATCACACGGGCGGGAAAGGGAAAGGAACTGAGGTTCACAGGTGGGACGGATTAATGATGTCACTTAAATGTTATGTTGTAAATGTTTAAGTATATTAAAACGAGTCATTTCTCATGCTTCCAGCTGTCCATAACTAACCCAGATATTTCCGGCCCTAGGTCCACCACAAAGTCATCCTGGAAGTCATCTAGGACACTCTTTGCGATCGTTTCCTGTTGGTGGCGGGAAGATAACGCAACCAGAATGCTTAATCATGCCTTCGCTGCATCTCACAAAGGCGAATGCAGTCAACAATGATATCTATATCTAATTAAAAATATTATAAATTAGGAGATAAGAGCTATTAATCTAGGGAATACAGTAAATATTTGTATGAGACACACCTGCACCTGTGGGTCCAGGGTAGAGCTCAGGATCAGGTTGGCCAGTTCATCGTAGTACAGGGCTGCAGCCTCAGGTGAGCTTTCGCTGCTCGACTTCACTAGCTCCAACAGGGCTGTCACCTACAACGAGCAAAACACACATGAACATACATACAAGACCAGGAAACCTGCAGATGCTCTGTTGGTGTTTAGAACAAGAACGGAGAAAACACTCTTCAAATCTCTGCTCTCTAATAATGGTATGTCTTTTATAGTTTCTATACCTGGTTTAGGTTTAGTTGGAGTTGGACTTGTATATGAGACAGAGGCTTGAATACAGGTCAACAACCACCAAATGAGGGATGGTTTATTTCCTTAATCTATTTACTATATGTATACCAAATGAAAATGAGATTTTATTATATATATATCAATATATATCAAGTTACAGACAGATACTAGTTAATAAAAAAATACTGCTTGCTAAAATAAAAGCATACAAGATGTAACCAAAGCAGTCAACCTATAAATGCAAAATAAGAATTGTAGCCACAGGCTTTTAGATCTTTTCCGCAACACAAATGTAGAGACTGATACTGATAATAATCATGAGATACTTTTTTTTACCCCTATATGAAACTAAAACTGATTAAAAAAAGTCAACACTGTTATTGTTTTCTAAACGTACCTGAAATTTTAGATTTGAAAAAAATAAAAATAAACTGCTAAATCCATTCAGACAGTTTTAATGCCTAATATCTACCTGTCTTAACGTCTCCTGTGGTAGCAACCCATTCTGTGACTCCTTCACTTTAAGCCTGAGGGGAGGCACAGAGAGTGATCAAGACATAAAGATATAAACTGACAGAATGAACAAGAAAAATACTGCTGATGACTGTGAGGTACAGGCCGTACCTGGAGGCCCCCATGCTGCCTACAATCATGACGGCACCAATGATGCCAATACGCTTGTACTTGGGCACAGTGCTGGAGAGCTGTTTGCGGATCACTATGTGCATGTCATCCTGAGCGGGAGAAACATGACAAGAGAGAGCTGGGTCACCGGGTGAGACTGCAACAATAAAAAGGCAGGAGAAGTGTTGCTGAATTCTATGTGCACCTGGATGTGAGATCCCTGCTGCTGTTGCCCAAAGGCCAGTCTGCTCAGAAGATGGAAGAGTCTGCGGATCTGCTGGGGTGTGAGGTTGTCCATGTAGTCCAAGATTCCCTGTATCAAATATCGGGCTCAGTTAAAAACGCAACCAAAAACAATGGTAAGACAATAAACCTTTGTAACACAACCATCAGGCACTACCAGCAACACACTGCTGGCACATAAATCTATCATGTTCAAATTTCATTGATTCCTTTTTCATTAGGTTTTGTTAGCAGCTACACTAGCAGATGGGTCATGTATGGATCACCTCCTTACCTTGACAAAAACAGCGTACAAGGCCACTTCGGAGGGCTTTTCTGTAACAAGGCCACAGAGCAGCTCCAGAGCCATGTCCACCTCCCCACCCACACCACTGCACACATGGGTCACTAAAGAGCCCACTACTTCCTATAAAACCCAATACAGGACGGAATTAAAATTACTCAGATGCATTTATATTAAACAAACGTATGGATATTTTAAAATGAATGAATGAATGAATCCAAAACCCACCTGCTGGCAGTAGGAGTCAAAAGCAGTGAATGAGTGTCGGTACATGTGTCCACCAAAAGGCACCATGCTGGGGTCAGGGGAGCGCAACAAACTCTGAGCCAGAGCCAGGATGGAGGGGAAATACCCTCGCATGACCTGAAGCATCGTCATTAATTGAACATATTATTCAAATCTAAGTGATTTACTGCATCAGTATAAACAATACAAGTGCACTGTGCAGCTGTGTTTACATTTAAGCTTGTGTGTCTGCAGACTGACCCACCTGAGCATAGTCCCTGAAGGTCTTCTGGAGCAGAGCCTCCTGGATCAGTCCAGTCCTCACTTTTAACTTGAGCACCCTCTCTGCCCCACGCCGGCTCTGGTTGGCATTGGTGGAGTGTAGGATGAACAGCACCAGCAGATCTATTACCTGACAACGCACAGGGCACATTTTTGGGACAGACTTATAGATTCACATCAACCACAGACACACATAAATGTGATGAGTGAATGACTCCATGTTTCTATAATCTCCCAGACTTCATTTGCAACTAAAAGACCTTTTGTCAAAATTAACAAATACAGTTTTTACAAACTTTGTGTGGGAACCTCATGGGATGTAAGCTGTCCATTAACACTAACCAATTTACTAGGCGATAACCTGAACTGAGCAGATGACACTCACCTTATGGTACTCCACTTCATCCACAGACTCTATTGCCTTTTGAAAAACACAGTAAAAGTTCATTAAGCAACACTGAAATTGACAAGACGGTTAGCCATTCGAAACAGGAAAAATTCAAAAGCATCTGCATTTATCAATCAATTAAATAAAGAGGGCTTAAAAACTAATTAATTTCCCACCTTGAGCCAAGCCTCAGATATTGTTTTCTGGAAACGCACTGCTGACTTGATGCCATCCAATATAAATGCAATGCTGTCCTGGCTGCTGCCAGCTGCTGGTGTGGAAGCGGACCTGCCCAAAAACCACATTTATTAGATGAAATCTTCAGGAATACAGTATTAAGAACCTACTTGCCAATATCAAATAGGTGCCTGACAAAATGTACTCATATGTGTGATAGATGTGAGTGATATGGAATCTGTGCTGTCTTACACTGCTGATCCTTTGCTCTTCAAGCGGCTCTGGGAGGCCTGCAGCACAGGAGGGAGAATGCACTGCTCCAGCTCCAGCTTTTTACGAAGATTACTCACCACCTACACGCAGGAAAAACACACACCACACTTCTTGATTTCCAAATATAAGTACTATAATTACCAGAACACAACTACTATGTTCTGTTATTTGAAATGCACAATGCCGGAGACATGACTCAGACCTCATATGCATCAGAAGCCGAGACAGAGTGCAGGATGAACTTGACCACCACAGGCAGGTCTTCCAATAGCACAGCAGCCAAAGTGGCCATAATGGCTCCACGAACCTGAGACAGCAGAAAGTAACAGGCAACCAGACAGTGCCATTCACTTTGATTTTAAAAATTCACCAAAAGTAAGTGTGTGTGTAGTGTGTGTGTGTGCACTACCTCAGTCAGTAATGAGGAACTGAGGTTCAGACTAGAGAGGGCATCCAGGATGGGGACAGTCAGCGGAGTGTTCTCTTGGAGTAAAGAGCTACAGACAACAGCAATTAAACAAAATCAGTAACTCTGAAACCACACATGCAGTGCTAGAACCACAGATCTGTACATACTTGAGCTCTCTGGCTATGTCATTGTGCTGGGAGTCTTCCAGTATCTCTGGCAGACTGGTGATGATGTCACGCTGAACTTCCACTGGTGCCACCGACACCAGCTCCATGAGCTTCGCCGCCAACTCCTGCAAATAACAGGCCGAAAAGAGGGCGGAAATAAACAAGGATCCCGTCATCTAGACATTACTGATGACTAGTATGAAGAAGAAATACGTGATTACGGGACTAATGGAACAGATCAGCAAAAATAAAAACACTTTTAATAACTGTAATGGCTGTGGATACTATACATGCAACAACACCTATCATCACAGAAATTACTACCTTGCTGTCTACAACTCTGTCAAGCCATTTAAGCTGGTTAATAACTATGCGAGGAATACTGAGCCCTCCATCTGCAGAACTGCGAAGGAAAGCACAAGATGACATTTAGAAAAATAAAACAATGAGAAGTGTTTCTGTAAACTGGACTCCTATAAAATACTGACCCGTCAAACATAAATTCAGGGAGTTTCTCGAGCAATGTTTTAATGATGAAAGTCTGCATGAAAGAGAAAGACAGGTTCAGCATGAGTGGAAGATACACTTTACATGTACACAATACACATTTGCATGCCTCATAGCAGAAAGAGATATTTTGTGTGGTCTTTTTCCGTGTGTATGATGTTGTCTTTGGCAGAATCTCAGCAGAAAGTCTGACCTGCAGCATCTCAATCCCCAACAGCATGCGCAGCAGACTTTCCTGGAATGAGCTGACACTACTGCAACAGAGGAAAACATGTCAGTGTGTCACACCATACAGACCCCTGACAAAAGATTAGGTCTTAGCTGTGACCTTCATAAATTAAAGTTCTGCCTGAAAAGGCCTCTGTTAGAATGTTTTTGTAACAGTCACCTGGAGTCTCCATCAGACAATCGAGGGACACACGGAAGGAGGCAGTTCCTAAACCGCTCAGGGTCCTCGATATGAGACTCCAATCCAGTGATGAATTCCTGTACAATCTGAGAAATGAAACGTCAATGAATCATAACTGTCTCATGTTAAATGCCCTGATTTTGTATAGGAATGGTGTATGTACTTACCCCAGGGTACCTGGGACTCTTCTGTAGTTGCTGCTGTATCCTTTTCTGGAAAACGACTTGGTCCACAGCTAGAGGGGTATAGATGGACATTTAAAAAATAAAAAATAAAATCAGAAATGCAGAAACTGACTTAATTTACTGGCCTAGTATGTTTTGAAACTTGGATTGAGTGCTTTTACCAATTTCATTGGACGTGCCACCTTGTTTTAAGGTGACACCGGCCTCTCGAAGGAAGACGCCAAATACACTTTCATTTGTCTCTTCTGGAGCAGGTTCCTTTGGTTGGCGGCCAGCGCTGCGACTCTTCTTTGCCTCTACAGAGAGAAGAGAATAAACCTTTAATAAAAACCCCACGGGGACAATTTGCCACCAGTTAATGAGGAGAATGGGACAGGGTGTTATTCAGACGTCTGCCAAGTAAGTTGGTGTACATAACGTTAACGTTATGTCAGTGAGATATGAAACATGCAGTGGTCCTGTCAGATTATGTCACGCTCCTGTAATACTTTGCTCATAGTGTGAAAAATATAAGCGTTACAGTGTGATGGGAAGCCAGGCATATCTTAGCTGGTAACGTTAAGCTGGGAAACCTTCACCGTACAGGCACACAGTTAATAAATGCTGTGATGTTGCGTTGAATAAAACTTACTTGTGGTCGTAGCAGCTCCCTCTCCTTTATCCAAAGAGGAGCGTCGCTTTTTACGCATCATCTGATGAAATACAAAGGTCAGAAGGTTTTTAAAAGCTAGACCAGGCTAGCATCCACAGTAGCAGACAAGCAAACGTATTTATAAGGGACCTACGTTATACACCAAAGTACTGTTATATTACTGTTAGCTAGGGTATGAACGTTAGCTAACTCGTTCAGTAATTCAGTCACTTAACTACAAAACCAAACATGCCAATCTTGTAAGTATGTAACTAACGTTATATCGAGGTTATGTTGTTAGCTGTCATAATCACTCAGGATGATAAAAGTGAGACATACTTTAATAGACGAACCCACAGACGACGATATTATGAGCTCAGACACCGAAGTTACATATCAAACATCCGCGCCAATGCTAACGCGTCATCATCAGCCACCATTAGGGATCATCTTCGTCGAGTTTCAAAAAAAAAAAAAATCTTCGTTAAGTTTCGGTAACGAGAGTAGCAGCTACAAATAAATACCCAATACGTTGGAGAATAATCAAATAAAGCAACTATACGTTTTATATAAGCACCTTTATACGTTAACCTCTTGACTGAACTCTCTGTTGTGTTATTTAAAGTGGGCCATCGGTTGACATTTCAACATGTTTACGACGGTCTCTAACACGGGCCTGAATGTTTTATAAACAATTTCCCCTTTGTTGGGTGGGGTTAGGAATGGGTCCATACAGAGCCCTCGGTAGAGCCTTTCCGGGATACGCCGTGTGAGAAAACATGCCCACCCCAAACCGCTGTACCTGCGCAACTACATCGAAGAGTGTACAGTTGATCGAGCGGTTTCACCTGCTACCTGCCTCCTGCTTCTCCTCGCTTGGTTGACTTATAACATTAGGCCACTCTTGATTTGCGAATTTCACGAGTCACGCAGGATTCTCTTTTCTAACCTAAAGTGCGGTAGCCGCTATTTTACAGCTAAATTAATTAACTGCACCAGCCATTAAATGAGTGGTTACTGCTGAGCACCTGAATCAAACAGGTTACTGTTACAGCAGAGTCCAAACAGACCAAATCCTTGAGATATGGTCATGGCTACAATGTATTGCACAATAATAAAAGATCAACTCCCGGCATTAGTTGATGTTTGTTGTTTTTTTAAATAAAATTTTCCTCATGTCTCAATGTGCTAAAATGCAGGGAGTTGATAATTTCCACCAGCAAAAAAAGACAATAGATGGTAGCAGAAAATATTACATTAAGATAGGCTACTGGTGTTATACACAGTCAACATTTTGACTTACAGGGTCAAAATTAAAATATAGAAAGTCAAAACAAAATGATGAGATATATAGTCATATGTAAAGCTATGACTTAGAAACTCAAAATGTTGACTTACTTAAGTCAAAACTTATTATGTCCTACGTTTGACTTTGACCCCTATGTGGCCTACACTGGAACAGTAAAATAGACCATCCCGCAGGGTGTAGGACGTGAACTATCTTGACTGCAAAACACAAGCTCTTTGATCATGCTTCAAAGGCTGGCTCAAGACACTGAGGGAGGCAGAGTGTCAGCATCAAATAAAGGGCATATTGTGATTCTTAATAAAGGGAATAGGTAGCTATTAAAAAATGGCTACGACATTGTACAACTTCACGGCCAAACTGTTAACGGGAGAAACGTTTAATTTTTCTTCCCTCCAGGGCAAAGTGGTCCTCATTGAGAATGTGGCGTCTCTCTGAGGCACCACCACCAGGGATTACACCCAGATGAACGAGCTCCATGAGCGGTACGCCAGCAAGGGGCTCGTTATCCTGGGAGTGCCCTGCAACCAGTTCGGGCATCAGGTGAGGAAATTAACGTTGCATCTTCCAGGTCTGCTCTCTTATTAACTTACAGGCAGACTGGGCTTATGATAGTTTATAGTGTATTTTTAAGTTTTGTTCGTATATCTTTGACTTTGCTTACTGATATTGTGTTTTCCCGGATATAGCACACTTGAATTGAAACTTTAAAGGATAACGTTACAATTCAACCGGGACTGATGTCTGAGCTTTAACTCCTATAATTAATTAGCACTTTCCCAAATGAGTTTTGTTCCTATTTTAGACTTGCTTTACCCAACTCGTTTTCCAGTTTACTAGCATGTTTTAAGTTTAGTCTAACAATTAGTCTACTTGTAACTATGCTACAGACACAGTAATTCAATGAACTCATTATATTATCTAAAAAATGTTTAACATTTGGAACAAGTAAACTTAAAATTCAAGGATACATTTCCCGTCTGAGTAAGTCCGTTACAGATATTTAGGAAAGAGGAAACAGTGTGAGTTTCAAAATACCTAATAAAAGGTATAGGCTAGTCGCGCGTCATTTGTTCCTGCTTCACCCATTATTATCCACACAATAAGCAATACGTCATGTATTAACTCAATGTTAACACGACAGTATTAGTAACTCATTAATAGATGGTCACGGAAACGATGTGAAGATAGTCTGAAGGCTTCTTATTGAAAGCAGGAAATGAAACACTATGTGGCACGAATTCTTTATGTTAAAGAGCCAAAACAGAAAGCAAACTCTAGAAAAACACAATCAACATGATCCTTAAGTCAAACCAAAAGTTAGTTTAACAACCACATACAAAGTGGTATTGTAAGGCTGCACTGCTGAAAGACTGTTTTAACTTGAACCTTTTTATTGTTTCATTACAGTAACTGCTTATCACTTCCCTCACAAAAACATCATTGTCCTGTAATGCCATGGTAGACTTTAGCCAGGAGCCTGTCTGCTTCCTGAAATGTCTCAAGAATGTTCCATTCATGATTTCAACATTTTTATTACATTTAAAGTCACTGCCCTTAACATAATCTCACGATCCACCTCTGCAGGAGAACTGTAAGAATGAAGAAATCCTCATATCTCTGAAGTACATCCGTCCCGGTAATGGCTTTGAGCCAAAGTTCCAGCTCCTGGAGAAAGTGGATGTGAATGGGAAGGATGCCCACCCCTTGTTTGTATTCCTGAAGGAAAAGCTCCCAGCCCCCAGCGACGAACCAAGCGCCCTGATGAACGACCCCAAGTTAATCATCTGGAGCCCGGTCTGCAGGAACGATGTGGCCTGGAACTTCGAGAAGTTCCTCATCGGGCCGGATGGAGTGCCCTTCAAGCGTTACAGCAGGATGTTCCTCACCAGCGACATCGAGGGAGACATCAAGAAGCTCCTCAACCAGGCAAACTAATCCTCCAAAATGTTGTTCATCCATCCAACAGCTTCCACATTGTGTGTAACCTTCAGCTCATGAGGAGAAAAATCTTTTGTGCAGTTTTTACCCTTCCATAGCCTCTGCAGATGGTGTATGACACTTTTCCAGACCACCTGTGCTCACTTGTACACGATGGCTGTGTTCAGTTCTTTTACTATATGAAGGCATCCCCTGAAACCACGCTTGTTGTGAGGGGGGTATTTGATGAAGTGTAAAAGCCTGAATGTTTTCAGCTCCATGGGTGCATGTAAAGCACAGCTGTGGTTTGATGTATTAGGAGGACCAATAAATTTATTTTCTAAACATTTCCTGACTTCCTCTACGTGAAATTATTGATTGAAAGATTTTAGTCTTTAGTTGCACTGACAATTGAGTAACTTATATTAATTTCAAACTCTGTGGTAAAGCACATATTTAAACTGCATTTGTAAAATGTTTATCTTGTATGAAGGTCCGTTATTTTTAATCATCTGACCTTGAAAATAAAAGTTTACAGTGGTTACAAATATTTTCTAGCATACCTGTGCCAGTGTCAACACCAAATCGGTTCATTTTGCAACCATTTGGCATAAATGGCGTGCAAATAAAGATTCTGCATTACAGTCATTTCATAACTGTCACCAATGTTAAACCAGCTTTGTGCGACTCGAGTACATATACTGTATATTTTTGTGCATGCAATTAGTCCAAACAAACCCACTTGTTGAGGCTTCCAGTCTTTATTGTACTTTGAATTCAAATATTTCTCAGTTAAAAACAAATACTGTAGTTATCGGCAATAAGATAAATATGAGGACAAGAATTTATACACCTATATTCAATTGTGTGATTATTTACATGTCTTCGGTTATCTTTGTTTGAATTGCGGTCATGATTTAGGGGGAAGAAAACATTAGCTGCATTTGGCAGCTACATTTTTTCAATTAAGTATCTAGGATTACAGATACAATGTAAAGCTTTTCTAGTCATTGGCATTTATGATTATATTAAAGGTAGTCATTCTGAACGACATAATGGGCAGGACCAACCGGCTAAATGGGCTCTTGGAGGCCCTTCATATCAACATGCTGTTCCATTAAATACAGAGTGCCGTCTGGTTTCACTAGAAGACCCTTGATTAAGTAAATGTATTCTATTTATACCCAGTCACACTTACGCAAGACACCTGCAGCTGTGCTTCCTGGGAGAAGTATATGTCTAAGAAGACTCAATTAAGATGAAACAAAAGGGATTCTTTTCTTGTGCTACCAACAGAGACAATTTATTATCGTGTTTTACTTAACAGCTGAACAGTGGTCAATGGAAGGAAAATAACTGGCGCCTGCATTCAGTGAGAATGCTGTTAAGGTGCTGCAGTCCTGACCCCGCCTGATGACATGTAGACTGTTCCTTGTGACAAGGAGCAAGTTCAAGTTTCAGGAATAAAAGCACCACTTTTATACTAGTTTATTTTGCGTCACTCCGTGTGCTTTGAAGATATCAAATAACATAGCCATTTCAATACAGAGCTGCATTAATGTACAAGACTAATAAGGACAAGCCATTGCAGGTGAGCTAGGGGTCCAATCAGGTAGCAATCAAAATATGCTTATAAGACACATTAAAATGATCTAGAAGTGTATGACAGACCCATAACCCTTAATGCTAAGGCTGAACCACACAATTCTGTCATGTCTAGTCTAGATACACCAGAAGCAGGTAGATAATGTACTCATGGAGAATTCAAAGTGCCTCCTTTTTAGTCAGGTTGCAGGAATCAAAAGGCCGCTCTTGCATTGTGATTTTTAAAAAAAAGGAGGGGGGGGGTTGTTTGCAGGGTAAGACTCCTCTCATAAGTTTAGGGCCCGAGAGACAGCAGAGCCTGTACTGTGCGTCAATGAACAAAAAAACGAAGGCTGAACAAGAGCAAGGTCGAAGAAAAAAAAAAAACTGCTTTCGCCATAACTCCTGCTTTAAAACTTTGAAACGAGCCTTGCCCCTCCTCTGTGGTTTAGATTGCAACACAGACCCGGCAGGCCGCAGGACAACTGCCAGCTGATCTGCAGCAGCAAGACAACCCACTCTACACAGGTGAAATAAAATGACAGGATTCTTTCAATAAGCATGGTGTGTATTGTTCTGTGTGCACATCACACTGTTAAAGTTTGCATTTTCCTCAGCACAGCAAGATTATCAGAGATAAATCTAAGCACAATGCCAGTATCCTGCTATGGTCTTAACAGTTGGTACATTTCATCATAAATACCTTGGAACGCTTTGGTTGAAACAACATGTGCATTTGGCTTTTTTTTTTTTTTTTTCTTTTTCATGTTTCTGACTGACATTTTTTTTTATCTACGCATTTGAGGGCACTTCTAACATTCTGTTCATCCAGTGAGAGGACCTTTATCCATTTATACTCCTCTTAGTTCCAGACTAGTAAACTATGTTCAGAAATCAGTAGGCCACCCGCTGCAGGGAGAAAGTCTCTCAGGTCATTCTTCTGACAAGGCTGTTGGCTCTAGTTGACAACATACAAGACAGAAATCAAATAAAATACGTGGGGGAAGATCAGGTTATTAATATTAAGTCTGTGGAGTCCTCTGTCACTAAAGTAGCGCTGTGTGTGCGTCCGAGTGTCTCTATTTGCTGTCTGTGTTTCAGTGTGTGTCCCTCAGTTTGTGTCCATGTGGTCATCGGCTGCTTCCGGGGCTCCTCCCATCGAGGCCGAAGGCTGAGGTTTGGAGGGAGCTTCCTCGTCTCTGCGCTGATAGAACAGCACGTAGGCTGCTTTAGTCTGCGAGGGAGGACACAGATAGGATTACACTATGCAAACAGGGACACTCGACACCAAAGGCAGAAAGCCAAGAAGGCTGCCGGCTCGTCTGCATCAAACATCAGTCAATGGATATAACAAATAAATAAAACTAACTACAGGATACAGAGATTCATGACCACTGAAGAGTCAAAACTCACCACAATCTGGTCCTCTGTGGCAGAGGAGACACTGCTGTCATCAAAGTAATACCACTTCCCATCCACTTTATTCTTGCCATAAGCTGTATCTGTTAAAGGGAAAGCAGTGTTACCTGAAAGCTATCCAGGCGGTTGGTTTAGTCAGGAAGAGATAATCTTATCAGACCAGTTCACCACAAATGCAAAAACATAGAGAACATAGACGTGATGTTTCCTATTGTAATGTAACTGATCAGTGTCTACGTAGACACAGTGGCCGTTCAGCAGACCATCTGTTGACACAAAATTGTGTGCATGTTTAAAGACTAAACAAACTGTGTCGGCCCAAGACCTACAGAGTGGATTCATCATCATCAGCTAAAAAAACAACTATTGCCAGCTCTTTATTGCATGTTTACATGGAGTGACATTGTCCTTTGCTTTCCCAGTGTTGTTTAAGAGACATAGAAAGGAAGGAAAAAAAACAAACAAACAAACTTACAGTGACCTCCTCCCATTCCTCCATAGTGGTTTGACACGGCAACAAGGTCATATACGTAGGGGCCAGCCTTAGGGTCGCACACAAACTCGGACATGTTCAGATCCCTGACAAAGAAAATATCATCAGTCGCAGGGGGTAAAAAATGGTATTGCCACGAAACTGAAACTAAGTTAATAAACTTACATCCAACAAATAAAAATGTAAAACACAGCATATGGGCCCACTGTATGTTTAAGCCGACCTTAGTAAGCATGAGTCAGCCTTTTTTAAAGCACAGTCTTTTCTGCTGCTTGGTGTCTAGTGGATCAAGTTCCTTCACAGAGGCAATTGTGTGTTGCACACACAGTGCCAAGAGTGTGACACAGCAGTTGGGCCACATAACACTGAGGCAACTTCTCCATTTTAAAAACACAGAGGAAATATTGTACTGTGTTAACTGGGAAAAAGGTTATGGACCTGTACAGGGTGTAAATTAGGGCTGGGCAATAAAACAGTAATGATAATAAATGTTCAATATATCGCCAATGAAGGTTTGATTTGATTCATTTGAATCACAAACTAACATTTTTTTAATTAAGATATTTATTTTGTTGAGAAAAAGGACTAAAAAATGATTTACTAATCATATTTTTTAAAAGATTATATCATAATTTGTGAAGATTTATGAAGTGATCCACTGTTCGGCATCAAGCGTTTGTCACGTTCAGACCATAAAGAAAAGTTTAACCACACAATTAACCATCTGGTTTCGTCAATTTTCACTCAGGAGCAAAAATCAGCCTTTAAACTTGAAATACATAATGATTTGCCATTTATTGTGATAATGATCGATATGGAATGATATGAAATTTCTTTTATCGTGATAACATACAGTGGAAAGGCTACTTTTGGTGTTGTAATTGTTTTTTGGGCGAGGTCAGTTCTCAGACAAAAGTAAATTTCTTCAAAGTACAAAGTATTTCCTCAGGTCATGGGGAGTTTCAGACTACAGCTCCCTCTAGTGTAAATGTTCCATTGATTCTGTAGTGTTTCTCACTTCTCACAAGCTTCAAATCAACACTCTTCTTAAAAGTGAGCTAAACAAAGTGGATCCATGGTCCATTTTGTCACAACCTGCCCTGCATTTCTAATTGATTTCACAGAGAATTAAATGAATGATTACAACTTTGCAGTAACACTTTGTGATGCTGCTTCTCTAAAGAAATGCATAATTCTCAAGACACATTTAGAAATTCAGTTTAAATCTTTAGATGCCAAATATTCCAGCCAACTGTTACTACATTAACAAAACATAAACATGAAATTTCAGTAATCTGGTATTGTCATAATAATGCAAATGCAATCTAAAAAGTAAATCAACTGTCCACCTTCACAGGTGTTATTAATTATTTTACCTTGTTACACTCTTTCAGGTCACTGGAACTACTCAACAGACACAACAGCGCCTTTTCCTCTAGAAAACCTTTACCAGAAACATCAGACTGAAGATACTCCGACTATAATGTGCTGCCTGCATACCTGATGGGAAAGTCCACCACTGTGTCCAGTTTGTCCCTCCAACACCGGTTGTAAGAAAAACGCTTTAGGTGAACTACCAGAATGCGAGGCAGCGACCACAAGTCAAACTTCTTTGTGGCCTGTTGGTGTTTCTTACATGTTGGACAATACCTGCATACAAAAGATAATATTTATATGACAAAGACAGTGACAGAAGTGGAGGTTTGACCCTGAATTAGGCCGTCGCTGTGAACTCTTACCACGGATCATGTTCTCCAAGTGTCTCCATGGTTGTAAAGAGCTCGATGCATTCTCTCAGAGCCACAGTGGCTTTCTTTTTTTGGGGCTGCAGCATGCTCTCGTGCTTCTCATAGGCCTAAACACAATATTTACACTAATATAAACAGACTGTTTGCATACCCTGTCACAGGATTGTCTGATGCATGTTAAACCCACTGACCTCTGCTTCCTGTTCATCATAACATAGTTTCTTCAACTCTGCATCCCAGTCGATCGCCACCGTGGAATGTGCTGCAGAGAAAAGAGGTGCGTCAACACAAATAATAATCTTTTATAATCTTTATTTACAGAGCACTTTTCAAAATATGTTACAAAGTGCTTTAACAAGTGCAAAGGCAATAAAACACATAAAACAAATTCACGATAAAAACAAGAAAACACTTAAGAGACTAAAATACATGTTAAAAGTAAAAATAAAATCTATATAAAATAACAACACACACAAAGTGGGTGTGAACAAATGAAACTATCAATGCACTTGGAAGTTTAAAAGATTTCCACTGACGATTGAGTTTGAGGACATTTCCATCGCAGGGCAGTGGGCTTATGTTGGCAGTTCCGTAAGAGTTGACTATGCTGAAAGTGAAGAGTTTGGCTGGCGTTGAGCACGGCTTGGCTGCGTCTCCTTTAGACCCATTTTCCAAGTCAGATGTCTCCTCTTCCTCCTCTTCGGACTGGCCATTCTCTGGCTCTGGACTCACCTGGTGTTCCATGGCCTCCTCCTCACCTGAACAGACAACGATGACACCTCGTCACTTTTGAGTTGTTTTTTGCATGGCTGCATTTTAAAGTCTATAGAAATATTCTGATGAGTAACGGCTCTCTGATCAATGTTGCCTTTACATTCTTTCAATTCTGGTGACAGATACTGTGAGCTGCTTACCATCATATAGCCCATTAGTTTCATTGCAGGTCCCTGAGTGGTTGCTGCCGTTACTGGAGCTGGCACTGCAGGAGGCCCCGTCTGACAGGGGACTGCCACAGCCACCCAGGCTGGCATTGAGATTAGACGATGTGGAACATTCAGGAGCCTGGCTGCAGCTGGCAACCGTCGCTGAGGCCGAGGCCGAAGCCCTGCTTTCACTATTCGAGCTCTGGGATTGTTTTACATAGCGTCTGCAACAGGAAACAGAGGAGAATGGTTAAACAGCAAATACACTTACTTTTTATTATCTGTGGATTCAGTTACAACTCCCGGTACAAGATTAATTTACATTTGATTCTACATTCCCTGCCTTTCTTAAAACTCTCTTCACTAGAATTTGCGGTTTCCTTCCTTGCTGTCCAAACAGTAGGTTCTTACCCAATCCTCTCGAGGATCTTGTCATAAAGAACGTCTGCTATGAGGTTGTGTTTGGGCACGGTGATGAGTAAAGGCTGGCCAAACAGCATAGTGTTTGTGGAACTTCCAGCGTGTTTGGAGTGGCGCTCCCTGAAATATACAGGCAGGTTCATCCTCTCACTGTCCTCTTCCTGTACCTCGTACCTGCAAAGAGCAACAACACAAACACACACACACATATTACAAACACACATATTATAGACACCTGGTATTCCACAGCAACCACAGCAGCTAACTTAAGACATGTCATCTTTTAGACATCAACAAAACTTACACAAAGATGTCATCTTTTTCCATGATTTGGTTGAGTCCATCATCCCGTCTATAGATTTTGTGGAACCTGTGATTGTAAACGTCAGCCACCACCATCTAGAAAAACGAAAAAATTTGCCAAGTGAGCTCATACTATTTCCATTTCAACCAAAGAAAATATCAAGCTGCAAGGATAAAGAACACTTTTTATATTATTCTATTGGTGTAAAAGGTTGAAGTTCTTACATGTTCAGGAGGGATTGCACAGAGTTTGGACAAGGCGCTGCACAGGTCTGTCACTGTACCCAGTTTAGGGACCACCACTCGATACTGTAAGACAAAAAAAGTTATAAAAACCACTACAAACCAAAATCTTAGTATTAGTACGACGGTATTAACTTGTATTAGTTTACTTGTTCAAGTCTAGAGCAATTCCGCCTCACCTGTGTGGGTCTAGACTGAGGGTCTGATCGCACCAGGAAAACCTCCATAGTACGGTCCTTCTTCATGGGCAGAGGCAGTGTGAGGTAGCAGAATGGGTCAAAGGTTACAGACACCTTGGAGCACTCGGGGCACACCAAAGTGGATTTGAAGAGGCCGTGGAAAATATCAACGATAATAGAGTCGTTGCGCAAACGGTGGTTCGTCCAGGCTTCCTTGGCAACAATCTGTAATTCCACAACCAATGGAGAAGAACTTTCATTAGTTTAAAAGTTTTAAAACCTGAGAAAAAAAAACTGTAACTTGATATTGTAGAGCAATACTTTGAAGTCTTCTGTTGCTATAAAACAGACCAAAGCAGTGTGCAGCTTCAAAACAAATGTGTAGCTGTCAGAGACTAGCAGTCCTTGCAGCTCAGCTTTGAAATTTAAAGCTGATTTCAATTTCATCAAAACACAACAAAGCCAAGAGTGTTGTGAATGTTGATATTTAAGCGTCATCATATTCCCACATCAGACAGAGCCTTTGAAGTTACTTTTTATAGAAATAAAATGCACAAGAAAGTCCATAGTTCGAAAAGCAGCACCATCACACCATTTCCATGTATGAGTTATACCTCGTCTGGTCGGCCCTCTGCATCCCTCAGGGCCAGATAAGGCTTCTTCTTGACACGGTTCAGGTCTTCGTGGAGCCCGTCCAGCAGGAAGGCCAACAGCTCCTGAGAGTCCTGCTGCTGGTAGCCTGAAAACTGGGGGGCAAAGCGTCCGACCTGGGTCTGGACACAAAAGGATAGATTTTTACTAACTTGCTTGTAGATTGTGAATGGACACATTCATTTCAGATGAAGTTGTCTGATGCGACTCACTTTGAAGGTACGTGGGGCCACGTAGCTGCTTCGGCTCAGCCACATCTGCTTCACAAGATCAGCATAGGCTTCTGCAATCTCTCCCCTCATTCCCAGGGGATTCTCTCGGTTAATCTCTACCTCGTACTCATCATTGGAGAAGTACTCTGTGAGTGGGGATGCATTGCTCAGGCACTGGAAGAGGAGGAATAACAAATGGATTATTTGAAAATAACACCCAAAAACATGGCGACTTTCCGTGAAGCTGTAATGTACGATTGGTTTGCTTTTTTTTTTTTTTTTTTTACCTGGAGGGCAGAGTTCATGAAGCATGTGTTGCCCAAATTGCTGAGACCACATAGGCCAGGCTGCGACTGTGACTCTCTGTAGTTGTAGGAGGAGCTGTATGAATTGTAGCCCCCCAATCTGTTGGAAGAGCAGATCTGTTACTGTCAGTACCCAACAGACACGGTGCTGTAATGAAGCCAGTACTTCAGGTATATATCAACAAGAGAACATGTTAACCAGCCATCATGTAATATAGCCATTAGGGTTGGGCGATGTCTACAAAATTTCCATTGGACGATGTCTACAATGAAACATCGGGATGGACGATGTCATCGAGTGCGCGTCTTATGTGCATGTGTTCTCGCACAGACTTCACCCTAAAAAAAAATTTGGAAGACTATTAACTTGCGTTACAAATCACGGTGTATATTTTACGCACGGACCAGGTAAAGTGTAGGCTGCGTCATTATTAAGCCGACGTGCGGCTCACCTGCTGTGATAGGGGATCGTGGGTGGAAATATACGGAAAAAAGACGAGTTCTCAGTCTTTAAGGCGACTTTATAAAACATACTGCTAATGGAGAAAATGGAGCAGATGGGGGGAGAGAGAGGCAGGGCAAGCCGGGGTTAGGGTTGGGCCGATAGACGATGCCATCGTCCATGGCTGACAGACATCACGACATTGAGCTGGCATCGTGATTGTAAATCTCAAATTTTCACATTATACCACCCTGTGAAAGCAGGTTTTAATGACCACAAACATTCTTATTATTGTTTATAAGTATGCTTTGCAGCTGCCTCGGAATTTTCTTCTCGCCACACACACACACCCACCCACCTACACCTCAGGTAAACACCCACACTCATCCATGCAAATCCTGAACAAATACAGTATCTCACAACAGTGAGTACACCCCACCCATTTTTGTAAATATTTGATCTTTTTCATGTGAATAACACTGAAGAAATTATACTTAGCTACAAGTAGAGAGTGTACAGCTTTGCTGTCCCCTCAAAATAACACATCACACAGCCATTAATGTCGAAACCGCTGGCATCAAAAGTGAGTTCACCCCTAAGTGAAAATGTCCAAATTGGGGCCAAAGTGTCAATATTTTGTGTGGCCACCATTATTTACTAGCACTGCCTTAACCCTCTTGGGCATGGAGTTCACCAGAGCTTCAGAGGTTGCCGCTGGAGTCCTCTTCCATTCCTCCATGACAACATCACAGAGCTGGTGGATGTTAGAGAGCTTGCACTCCTCCACCTTCCGTTTGAGGATGCCCCACAGATGTTCAATAGGGTTTAGGTCTGGAGAAATGCTTGGCCAGTCCATCACCTTTACCCTCAGCTTTTTTGGCAAGGCAGCAGTGGTCTGGGAGGTGTGTTTGGGGTCGTTATCATGTTGGAATACTGCCAGTCTCCGAAGGGAGGAGATCATGCTCTGCTTCAGTATGTCACAGTACATGTTGGCATTCATGGTTCCCTCAATGAACTGTAGCTCTCCAGTTTCGGCAGCACTCATGCAGCCTCAGACCCTGACACTCCCACTACCATGCTTGACTGTAGACAAGACACACTTGTCTTTGTACTCCTCACCTGGTTGCTGCCACACACGCTTGACCCCATCTAAACCAAATAAGTTTATCTTGATCTCATCAGATCACAGGACATGGTTCCAGTAATCCAAGTCCTTCGTCCTACGCTTGTTTGTGGGCTTTCTTGCGCATCATCTTTAGAAGAGGCTTCCTTCTGGGGTGACAGCCATGCCAATTTAATGCAGTGTGTGGCGTATGGTCTGGGCTCTGACAGGACCCCCCACCACTTCAACCTGTGCAGTAATGCTGCACTCATACATCTATTTCCCAAAGACAACCTCTGGATATGACACTGAGCAACTTCTTTGGTTGACCATGGTGAGGCCTCTTCTGAGTGGAACCTGTCCTGTTGAACCGCTGTATGGTCTTGACCACAGTGCTGCAGCTCAGTTTCAGGGTCTTGGCAATCTTCTTATAGCCTAGGCCATCTTTATGTAGAGCAACAATTATTTTTTTCAGATCCTCAGAGAGTTCTTTGCCATGAGGCCCCATGTTGAACTTCCAGTGACCAGTATGAGGGAGTGTGAAAGCGATAACACCAAATTTAACACACCTGCTCCCCATTCACACCTGAGTCACATGACACCAGTGAGGGAAAATTGCTAATTGGGCCCAATTTGGACATTTTCACGCTAGATGGCGGTGGGCTTTCCAAGTTCCACTGTGTTGACTTGCTGCTGCTGCTTCTTCTTTGTTGATGCAGGCTACTACAAACAATGGCGACTGATTGTGTGTTCCATTTGACATAGCAAAACGGAATTTCCGAGTTCCAAGACGAAAATTTCAACGGGAACACCCCCTTAAGTTGGATTTCTGACTTGGAAAATCGGGAGAACCTCACCAACCCCAACCTCAAAATCCAAGATGGATGCTACGGGAATGAACAGTAGTGGAAGCTGTAGTAATAAACTTTATCGCACTTCTGTCTTAATTGTGTCTCATTAAATCAGTCATACATACCGTCCTGACGAACTTATATCTGTAGCGATGTTGCTACGGTGTTTGTATGTGCAAAATAATGCGTTATCAGCCAGAGGCATCAAACTTGGTTTTCCCACTTAAATCTGTTGTTCAACTGGAACGCCTTCAACTCGGGTGAGACGTCATTCCCAGTTTCAACATCCCACTTCCAAGGTAAATGAAATGCACCATAAAACTGAGCAGATCATGTTGGAGTTGGAGCTGATCAATGAAGAGAAGACGTCAGAGAAGATGGTAAGTACGACCCTTGAACTGGTTGAGGCAGAAGAAGGATAAGCCTGAAATGCTTAGTATTGTGTGCTCCCAAGCTGCGTCGCTGCAACGTGTAGTAAAATGTTTGGGTAGGTACGCCATAGCCTATGGGTAAGTGTGTACCCTACGCCATTCGAGGAACAAGTCCAAATTGGCCCTTAAGTGTCAAACCTCCTATTGGGGTGGTATTGGCAATCAAAAGAACATCACAGCCTTTTGAATAAAGTGCAGCCATTTCACCAAGTCAGTAATGAATTTGATGTCAGGTGTCATTTCTGCAGTTACATCTTATTTCCCTTTAAATGTAATTTCCTGACCCTGAATAGACCTCATGCTGAGCTTACATGTGAGCACACACACCTTTCTCAATATTTTCTATTATGTCAAAGAACACTGTACAAGCCACATAAAACATACAGTAAATGCCCAGGAGAAGTAAAGGATGGTAAGTTCTGCATGAGGGAAAACAGAGATGGGGGAATAAATAAATAACTCTTGCCTGTTGCCAGAGGAGGTGCTGTTGTTAAGTGTGTAGCCAGGGCTACAGCTGCTGTCTCCATTGGTTACTGTTGAAGAGATACTGGCTGTTGAGTTGGAGGAGAGTTTTGGGGAGGTAGTGAAATTCCTAGATGGGGTTGTACTAGATCTGGTGAATAAGAGCAAAACAATGTTTTAGAGAAGCCCATTTGTAAAAACAAAACCAACAACAACAACAAAAAAATCTATGCAAACTTTCAATGTTGTGTTAACTTCGAAATTTATATATATATATATATATATATATATATATATATATATATATATATATATATATATATATATATTTTTTTCCTCCTTTCCCTGAATGACAAAATCAATAAGGTATTTGCTTACTTTGGATGAGAGGCTTGTCTGGGCCACGTGCCGTCCTCATTCTTTCGCTCAATCACAAGCACCTGTGGGAAAAACAAGCTGGATGAAAGTCACGTGGGCACAACTGACCTTCATGTCAGAGCTATCATGTCTCAGGCTTAAATTTAACATTATGCGACTGCCAAGTTCTTCCAAGCTTCAGCAGCTGCAGGTAAGTCTATCAACTGCACTTACTATAGCATGTAACACCTGTACAGTTTGATGTAATTCAATACAATGGCATGGACGTGAAAGATAATTTTTTGATGGTAAGGTCAAAGAGGTATCAGCTACACTCTGTAGTAACATTTGAGGCCACAGTTTGTGGTGGTAGTGTAATAGATTGTGTTATATGCTAAAATGTCATTCTTTGTCCAGCCCCCATTTATGTAAAGGGAACACAAAATATTAGTAACACTTTACATTACCCTTGCAATCCAACAACACTTCAGACCCATAACCTGACAGTCCCAACTAGAATTATACATTATACCGAGAGTACGATCAAGTTATTGTTGTGCAGAAGTTATTGGCCAAAATGAGCTAATTGCAGATAAATTGGTTCTGTATTTATAACAAATGTAAAAAAAAAATAAAAAAATAAAAAATAGCTGGGTCCTTCGCTCATGTCAAGAGTGTTGCATAATTTGCCCCGCAGAGGGCACTCTGCAACTCCCCTCTTAACAACACAGCCACAAATGTGCCACAAAGCAAAGCAATCACATGACCGGAGTCTCCCAGAGCATGCTAGACCAACAACAGAAAGTAGCTATCTTCCCGGTGAGTTGGTCATTTGTCATGTGAACTACATGACTTAAATAATAATAAAAATAGCCCTCATCACTTCTCCTCTCCTGAAAACATTCATGATCATTCTTGCCAACCTTCCCGTTTTTCATTGCTCTCTCTCCGTTTCCTCCTGGGTTCACAAAAGCATGTTTAATGTTGTAGTAGTTGAGCAGAGGCAGAGGTTACATTGTTGACAAACTTGACTGAAGATTTATTTCCGTGGCAGTTCTAGCAACTTTTAATTGCCCATTGCTACATTAGATACCCCATAAAACTAGCTAATGCCATGTTCAGTGGAAGAGTGCTAACTTAGCTTAATGAGCAGTTCATTATATAATTATTTAATGTATTCTAAACATATCTGCGAGCCAAACAAGTATCTAACACGGCTGCCAAAGAAATTTATCTAGCTCCTCTTTCAAATGTACAACGTTAGTGTGAAATCTCCAAGTTGTTTGCCCTTGTTGTAGACAGTCATATAGTATTAGATGCATTCAACAAAAGTGTTTCCACTAGGTCACTCTATCACACATGGTGGTTGAAAAATGGTTTCTCATAGCTTGATTTGGATCAAATTAAAAGAGTTCTATTAAAGGTTATGTTAACTTAGTGAGGTCTCCTGACATAACAAATGTTAGGGATAGTCTCGGTTTATGTTATGTGTTTCAAAAGAAAGGGGGGGGGGGAGGTATCTGCAGATAAATCGGTAGATCGGATTTTAAAATCCTCAAACACCGAAATTGTTATCAGTCTTAAAAATCCTTTATAGGTCAGGCTCTAATTATAACCTTAACTATAATATACAGTATGTTACACACACACACACACACACACACACACACACACTAGGGGTGGGAGAAATAATCGATTCTTAGATGCATCGCAATGCAGACGTGGAAGATTATGATTCGATTAACAAATGTCTAAAAATCGATTATTTAAATGTTAATTGATAACATAATGTTGACGGAACGCAAAAGGCGGATCTCGCAGAAGTGCAGCGCCCGGACAGTCTGTGGAGCGCACACAACAGAGAGACCAGTGTTCCCCCATATTCGCCACCACTGCAGAATGAATAACCACCCCACTAAAATGTCACACAATCATTAATATCAGTGCCAAGTGATGATTTTAACTCGCACACTGTGAGCATGGCGACACTCGACGCTCTGCAGCTGCCCGCGTATTGTGTGTGAGGACGAGCAAGTGTGAGAGAGCGAGCGGCAGAATGTGACGGTGAAAGTTAACGGAGGAAAAATATCAGCAGTAAGTTTCAGTCAGGTAGTAAATGTGCAGTGTAGGTCGCTGTGTGTCCGTTAATAAAAGTCTGTAGTTTCTCCAACGGCTGGAAAAGTGAAGGCTGTTAGTCCTAGCTAACATCTCCCATGCTCTCTGTTTTCATTTTATAATATGAGCTTATTGCAGGGCTAGTGTGTTGTATTGCACTAGACTCTCAGATGTTCCTGCTATTTTGTAAAATTCCTGTAAATGAATTATGCATGCACAATGAGTCAAATCAGTACGTTAGTGAGCTGTGCTGTTTTCAAAAGAAAGGGGAAGAGAGTCTCTCATTGATCTGAAGGTTGTTTGAATAACACAGCTCTACACTACCTGCCCCTGGAAGAGACCAGCATCCTGCACGGTGCTGTCGGGCTTGTTGAGTTGCTCATAGGTGTTGCTCATGTATTTGTTCCAGAGCCGTGTCTCCTTCTCTGATGGGATGTTGAACAGTGTCCTCATCTCTTTCTCTATAGTATCTGGAAAGAGGGGATTTGCAAGACTTGCTTATTATCTTTCTTGCTTGTTTTTTTACTCATTTCATGTGTGTAGCAAGCCATCTGTCTGGTTATTGTCAGTGAAAGGTTGAAGCCACAGAACACCCACGTAGACACTCACCTATAGTATCAGCTTTACTGAAATGACGTGTGACCACATTGTCCATGTTGTCATTCTCACACAAGTTCAGCTCCAGCAAATAGACCTCCACCTTACAGTGCTTGACAAACATGCCATGTTCGACAACCTAGAAAAGAAAGAAGACATTTACGAGCTTAATCAATAAGCTAATGTTCAAAAAAAACAAAACACAAAAACATCTTTAGTAAAATTACCTTTCTGACGATGGGTCTCTGGCAATCAAGGCAGCCATACCAGCTGACAAGCTTGTTCCATGCCTCATTGGGTACAAGGACATAGTCCAGCTCATCAATAAGGTGCTCTTTCAGGGCCTGAGTCTCCTGGTCTTTAAGGAAAATAAACAAAATCATGACTACAGGCTGAGAAAAAAAACAGCGGGATTTGTGCTGGTCCCAAGAGCAATCTAAAGTAACACCAGTAGATGTTTCTAATAGTTTTACCTGAGAACAGACCGGAGTTATCAATTGGTCCTGGATAGAGGCTACGTTCTCCAACATTGTACATGTCCCAGCTGTCAAATCCCACATACTTCTTCCATTGTTTGAACCACCTGCTGTCTATCAGATACCTAAAACAAATAGGATGGTAACAGTTAATGTCAAATTCACCCTTTGAGAAACACATTTGGATAATTTCACCTAAACCTTTGAGGCTTATACTTCATGAAAGCATCGTCTGGCCACCTGATATGTTTAGGATATCAAGCAAGAACAGAAAAAGGCCAGGAGACGATACAAGGGGTTTGTGGAGACACTGCACTCAGCCGTATGCCAACCCAGAACATTATGCAACACCAAACTGCCTTAGCATTTGCAGATATAGCTACAGCAAGCTAGTTTGACTTAATCTCATCCCAAGCAACAATCTCCTTAAAGGTAATAGGCTTGTTGGCAAGTATTTACATAGTAAGACGTTGAGTCAGGAAACTGTTTTGTGGGACCACAGTCAGTATGGAGCAGCCTCAAATAGGAGGTCAATGTTAGGGGTATGATGTTTGCCCTTTAACCCGAGGTTACTTCCCCAATCTATGCAAAAGCTTTTTTTATTTTTTTTAAATCATACATTTCAGCTTTAACACCATGGGATGACAGTTAATTTAAACTACAGTATCATGAAACTATATATGAACATGTATGCTGAGTAGCTAGGAAGTTAGATTTATAACATAATGCATGTGCTCTTCCCTTGGTGCCCATTTCTGTCAACAAAGAAGGCAATGGGAAGTATTGCTAATCTGACATTTCTCTGTTGTAATATTTAACTGCTGAGGTGAAGCCTCTTTAATACGCCTGGCTGCACTGTGCCCAGGCCTGAATGATCTTCAGAATCTGAAACAATGTTAGCTAACACAGGTAGCCAGCCGGTTCAAAGCCCAAGTCAGACAATTTCGGCTAACATGTCACAACAAGCAAGTGACGACACTGCATCATATTCCTGTCGGCGGACCAATTTCCTGATCACTACTTATTGAGCAACGAGCCGGTCTGACTGGCAGGGGAACCCACCATCTGAATCCAGGGCCTGTTCTACCAGCCGACTAGCCACAGCTGCAGTCAACGTCACCTAACTTGTCACAAAACAGGCATTAATGTTTAACTGCTGTGCAAATTACCCAATTAGCTACCCATGTCAGTTGGGCTGTTAACGACCAACGTTAACAGACATTACTACAGGCACCACTCTTAAAAGACAAATTGTAAAGTCAGACTGGCTAGCAGTTAGCGTGCTAACTTGTTAAACACTAGCTGGCCAAAATATCGGTAGCACAGCAGCTTTCGATTTCAGTTGCAACCATCAGCGTCTTTAGCTTGCTAGCTTTAGCATGCTAGCATTTCCTGTTTCTCACTAGCTAATGTTAGCTTGCTAACGCTGAAACACCCGGAGAACGCTGCCGATTCTTACCATTCGTCACCCTTTCTTAGAGTTGTTTTCAAAAGTGACCCAATAGTCTGTTTTTGACTTTCGGTTGAAGGGGTTGGCATCTGTGCGGCTACCGGCTCCGAGTCGGAGTCTGCCGCGCCACCCGACTCGGGTCCGCCTCCCTCGGCCATCATGCAGCGAGTATGCCGGTATCGTGAACGCGCGGATGGAAGAGCCGCACTGGAGCGAGCATAGGAGCGCTGCTCATGGGAAGAGTTCTTCCTCTACGGTCAGCACACAGACGAGGAGAGCTGTCGGAGCGCTAAAGCATGACTGCTCTGCCATCACCACCGCCAGGCCAGGGAGTCACAGGACAACCAGATGGCAAAGTGTCCCAGGCCAGCAGTGCACCAAAAGGGCTACTTTACAAAAACATCCATGTAATGTTGTGACCTCAGAGCATCTTCCGGTGCATCAAAAAACCTTAGCCCTGACTTGACCTTTGCAAAGTGTGATGGCTGACATATAGTGATGCATTGCAACAAATGAAACCGGATATGTAGTCAAAACAGGCTTTATACTGTACAAAACACAAGGGAGTTACATGAACCAGTCTACATACTTCAAAACCCCAATATTTCAATCACACAAACATATTCTCTGCCAACAACTAATTAGTTCTGGGGCTGCTTCCAACTTTAAGCAGCTGACACAGAACAGTTGATCTATCTATGATCTAACAAAATGAGCCATTTAGGAGTGTTAAAGTATAATGAATTAAATAAACATCATTCAGACCTGTAAAATGGTATTGTGTCCTTTTTTTTTTTTTTTTTTTAAACATGATACATATGAAGATTAAGACAGCTAGTATATGCTGTGCATAACAGAAGAAAAAAAAAAGAAGCTCTACTAGGTAGTTTACATTCTATTACCTACTGGCATTAAGATCATAGTTGCAAGCTAATAATGCAAGTTAATAATGCATTTTACTAAGCAAAAAACCACTTAATGTCTCCCAAACAGCTCATCCAGGTGAAATAAAGCAATGCTTTCTAATATCTATGAGACAGCAGCAGAACCAGTGTATTTTAAGTCCTTTCAGATGTTTTATCTGGACAGGAATGGTAAGGTAATACATGTGAGAAGACAAGAACCACACATAAGTGAATGTAAACTTTGCATAACATGATTAACATGATTTGTCCCATCTCTGCGGTTCTAACCATAAAAAACAAATCCCTGCAATGATCAAAATTCAAAGTGAAGGCTCCAAATAGAAGTGGCGGGTCCATCAGAAGATACCACTTGGCAGCTCCTTGCTGAACATGCCATCAAAGTCCAGCTCTCTGCTCATCAGATCCTCCTCTACACTTTCCAGCGCCCACTGATGGTCAGTCAGCTCCAGTGCCTCCCACTCAGCCTGAAATCAAGGATGGACATCATATTAACAAGAGCAAAGGCAGACCTCATTAATAAATTATGCTTAAACTACATTATATACTTTGAAAGCTTTATTTGTATCTGCAGGCATGGCCATGGCGGCACCACTCATCTGCTCCTGCATGATCCTTGACTGGTCTGCACCTGTGGCGATTGAAAAAATAATTATGTGAATGGAAAGCTGTTTCACCATATACAAGGAATTAAGAAATTCCCTAAAGCACAGGCTTTACTCTAGACAATAAGGCTTCATCGATTTGTAAATATTACTGGCTAGGATGAATCTGTAGCTGAAACTATTATCAGACTATTTGTATTGAAATTAGATTAGTTTTCATATTCCTGCTCATAGCATGAAAATAGCTTTGTTAACATTAAGAGCTAAAGTTCAATAAAACAATATTATTAAGAGTCAATAAAATAACTACTTATAGCATGACAGAGTTGCTGTGACTGTTGAACTTTCTGGGAATCAGCAAATGTCGATAAACCATTTTCATTTTATCATCACACTTTACAACCTAGCCCAACAAAACGCTCAAAATGATCTTAGAATGAGCTAAACCCACCATTATCTTGGCCTAGAATTAATGAGTACATGCTTCGTAGTCCAAACACATTCAGGAAATACCATGACGCGGAGCTCACCCTGGATCAGAAACGCACACACAAACAAACAGAACAAATGACAAGAAGGTCCCACACTGGCTTAAGCATTTTGAGATCAATACAGAAGGGCTACTGTAGTATTTCTCTGCAGATCTTGATTTATTAGTTTACCAGGAGGCATCCAGTGACAGCAGCTCTATTCCTTGCTGCAGCATGGGCTTGAAGCGCAGAGTGAGAGGGAAGGGAACCTTAGCTGTGTAAAACAAGAGTGCAGAAAGAACATAAATGTGGGATTTCCATGTGAGCAATATCTTATTTGGTAGCAAGACTAATTAAAAGTCTTTTTTTGCCCCTGTGCATGCCACTTTCTACACCACAAGATCTGTGAGGGCGTGAGGTCATTACTTGTTACAAATCCAGAAAAAGTCCAGTTGATCCAGCCCCCAATGAGAATCATGGGAAGCACGTTGGTGACATTTCCTTTCATCATGTCTGTCAGCATGCTGGGATCTGGGAAAAGATACAGTGTGCGGCAAAATGCATTTAATATGCCCTTAATAAAAGTCTTTTTAATAATTGATAACACCTATACAGTGAGTTTACAGCGCTACAATAATGTGTCACATTAACAGCATGTTTTGGTAAATGTGGATATAAAGCACAAAACTCTCGAGATCTACACACTTTTATTTACACTCGCAACAGTTTGCTCTCGGTCCAGTCTGTAGTTTTTTTATTTGTACAGGTTGTTTTTGAAGCATTTTATTTCATTTTAGCTGTTCTGGACATCATTTTAATAATTAAAGCAAGATAAAAAAGAACGACATTTTTGACAAAATCATAAAAGACAAATTGGCTTCTCACTGTGGATTATATAAGACTGCAGATTGCGTCATCACATGCTGTAGTAAACACACAAAAATGATTACCTGTCATGGGAGAAGGTGGAACCACCTTTCTTTTGGTCTTCTTGAAAAATCCATCTTCTTGATTATTGAAGTAGAACTTCCTCATCAAAAAGGACTAAAACAAAGACAGATTTTCAGTAACACTGTCCTACACACTGTAGCCATGACAAACAAATGCTAAAAGACCAGTTGTTCTGTATGGAGTGTGTATTTTTCCTATATTTTAGTTAATAACTTGTACATGGGCTGAAGACAGTTAGGACAAGAAATTATCTTATTAAGAATATACATAAATATAAACCAGCCCCCCTCACCTGTTTGGGTATGTATTTTCCATTTTCTCGGAGAATTCTGCTCCGGATAAGAACCTGGCTGGTTGTGGAGATGGAGCAACACATATTAAAAATCACATTAAGTGTTTTGTTTTTTTACATATCATCATCATCATCCACCTCACGATTGAAGGTAACGTACCTGTCAGAAACCTGTTCTAACGTCAACTTCTTGTCACTTTGAAGAAGAATGGAAACATAATGGCGAATGACCCCGACCAGAAAGGTGATGAAGACAATGGGCAACACCACCCAAAGTCGGATGTTGGAGTCCAGCAGAAGCTCCGGCTCAGCCATCCAGCCTGGTGGTGTAACTACAGCCACAGAGGCGAGAATCACGTTCAGTGGACACGCAGGAAAGTTCAACACATCTTTTGTTTGTGTCAGATATTAAAAATGTGACGTTCTTACTAATGTGAGGCCTGTTAATTGTACAAGTTTGGTAAATGACCAAGAAGCGGTATGTCAGAGTAGCATGTCAAGTGTCAAGCGACAGAGGGGTGGGCTCAGTCCATGTAGCGAGCTAGGCAGCGTCATTAACGTTAATCAAAGGCATCAAGCGTTAAACAACCTAATCTAAACTCTACTTCACAGCACGTAAACGCCATTTTCTTTTACTAAACCAGCAGCAATGATGTGGAAAACTACTACAGATAAACAAAGCTGACGCTAGTGGTTCGCTAACGTTAGCCGGGGCGGGCTACCTTCTTCCTGATGTCCGGGTCACGGTTGGTGGGAGCTGGAGACTCGCCTTAGCGCAGCGAACACCACTTGCAGGGTTTTTCCCAGCTGCGAGTGACGCGAATCATGCGCTACGTAAGGTAGTTACAGAAACTAAACAACACTTAACAATTCGCATCCAATACCGCGACCATCGTGCTATGGTGTTAGCTCCGGGGATGACAGCAGATTTCTGCTTCTGCAGTTACTCCGCATCTCACCGGGCCTGCAGCGCCACCGCGCGGTGATGGGGGGACGCGTCTGCCCGGGTCAGCCAGCGGATGTCCCAAGTTAAATTTATGTATTTTTCTCTCTTTATTTAATATTTTCCTTCCATTTCCAGGTGTTCTTTGTGGTCTGTTCTTATAATGAATAAAGATGCCTTGCTACAAATAAAGTTAGACAGTTTTATCGGGGGGGAAGTGTCACCGCCGTGTTCCCGGGGCGAACAGCACACAGGGAATATGAGATAACACGCTGTAGGTTATTTACACTTAGCCGACCAAAGACTGGAGTAATAGCATTTTCAATCAGTTTCTTACCCATTTAGTTTGAAGTTAATGGCATTGTAAATTGTGTATAATTCAAAACATCTTTATTATACTTCCACTGACACACATAATGTGATCAAAGATAATGGAGAGGCAGATAGATGCAGAGCGGGAGAGGTACATATTAACAATGCAGAGGCCGAAAGGGTCATGTCACACTGAAACAAGCTTTAAGATCAGTGAAACATGTTATTTATTTAGAAATGAGTGATGATTGAGAAGATCTGGGAAAACAGCAAGGACAATTGTAGCCTACCACTTATGTGAGGCTTTAAACTTCTCTTGTAAGGAAATCAGAAACAAAAACAGATTTATTGACCAATTATGTTAAGGCATCTTCAACTGTTGCAGTAATTTGATCATACAAAGTAACAGGTGAGTAGATTATATATATAATATATACATACGTAGGTGTCATTTACACTGGGGACAGTGGGGAAATGTCCCCACCACTTTTTTAAATAGCTGATTTTGTCTCCATCACTTTTTCAAAGAATTTGGGGTGGTGATGGCGCAATGGATAGGCTCAGGTTCAATCCCCCACTGTGACCCACCCACCAGTGTGTCCCTAAGCAAGACACTTAACCCCTAGTTGCTCCAGAGGCGTGCGACCTCTGACATTCATATCCAAATTGCAACACCCCACTCAAATATCTCAGCATTAAAAATTTCTTCAAAAGACTGTTAACATATTACATTATCTTGTTTTTGTGACCCCCTATTGTCACACCCATAAACTGAGCCCTTATGTCTCCACCACTTTTCAACACAAAGTGACGCCCTTGAATATATATATGATATTATATGATACAAAGATATTATCATTGTTTAACATTAGCCACATTGCAGTGTGCTGGGTCCTCGCATAAACTCTCCCCATCAATAGGTGGCGGTAATGCACAATTTAGGAGCGGAAGGACGAACGGAGAGGATTGGAGAGAGATTGTCGGAATTGTGTTTGAGCATGCTACTGAGAACGAGCGTTGGTATTTGGCCAGTTAGCATCAACTGTACCGTGAATGTAATTATCATGGATAAAAGTACAGATGGAGATAGTGATAGTATGCCATGGCAGGATGTAAATAATAAGAGGAAAAGAAGGTGCGATAGTTCTGGAAGTTCAACCTATGAGTTTTAAAAAGTTATGTCAAAGAGAGTAAGAATGGGATATCTGAGTTATGATGTAAGAGAATTCATCCCAGCGCCACTTAGATGTTTCAAGTGTGAAAGAATGGGACACACTGCTGGGCAATATAAAGGAAAACAAAGATGTGCTAGATGTGAAGGTGAACATGAATATGGAAAATGTGGTCAGGATAAAAAAGTAAAATTCTGTTATTGCGGCGGCGAGCATAGCGCTGCTTTTGGAGGATGCTCTGTTCAAAGGCAAGCTAGAGAGGTACAGAAATGTAACTAATCAGGTATCCTATGCTGATGCAGCAAAAAAAGTGAAGGAAAGTGAACTATACAGACTCAGTGGTGCACAAGTAATAGAGCAAAAGAGTCTGAGAACAGACGAATAATTGAGGTTTCATCTCCAACACCAAGTCAGAGGCAAAGAGAAATAAATCCATGGATAAAGGAGATTAATGAAGATACGCTGATTGTCGGTAAAACCAACTTTGTTGCTTTCATCTATAAGACTGCAAATGTGGTAATTATGATGGAGTGTCTCAAGGTGATTAGCCTCATTGTGGTATTTCATATCCTCCACTGGAATGCCAGAAGTTTAATTGCAAATGGACAAGAGTTCAAGAAGGTTGTAACGGATCTGGAAGTTAGACCAGATGTTATGTGTATACAAGAAACTTGGTTAAGACCACATTTGGATTTTGTCCTACCAGGCTACAGCTCGGTTAGATGTGACAGAACTGGAAAACAAGGGGGGAGGATGTGTAACATTTATTAAGGATACTTTAGTATTTAGAAGGGTAACCGTTCCAAATGAGTATGAATGTGTAGTAGTAGAATGTGTAGTCCCAGAGGAAATATCAAAGTAGTTAATTTTTATAATTCGTGCAAGAAATTATCAATGCAAACATTCCATGAGATCTCAGAAAGTATTGATAGAAGAGAAATATGGTGTAGAGACTTCAATGCTCACAATACTCTGTGGGGAAGTGACCATACAGACACTAATGGAGAAGTAGTTAAAGAACTAATCGAGGAGAGATCACTTTCTTGCTTTAATGATGGAAGAGGTAACAGGGTTAATGTTACAAGACATTCAGTTTCTTGTATAGATCTTACTTTAGTCTCAGTAAATATGAGTAATTTATGTGAATGGAATGTAAAGAATAGCAACATAGGGAGTGATCCCTTTCCAATATTGGATATGTATGTTCAGGAGGGTTATGTAATAGAGAGATGGCGTTTTCCTAAAGCTAACTGGGAAAAATTCAGAGAACTTTGTATTGAGTATACTGAAAGAATATCGATGGAGGGTGATGTAAATAGCTGCGCAGTAGCAGTGACTTCCATGATTATTAATGCTGCAACAACCTGCATCCCTAAGAGCACAGTGAATGAGAAAAAGAAAATAGTTCCATGGTGGAACAATGAATGTAAAAATGCTATAAAAGAAAGAAATCATGCATTCAGAATTTTAAGAAAGCATTTGAGGCAAGATAACCTGATGGACTATCAAAGAAAGAGGGCTATGGCACAGAAAATAATTAAGTCATCCAAGAAGAATGTATAGAGGCAATTCTGCTCCTCCATTGGTAGAAAAGTTAAATTGGGTGACATTTGGGTAATGATCAAAAAAATGAGTGGGAAAAGAAAATCAGTTAAAATCCCAGTGCTGATAGATGGAGAACACCTGGCAATTACAAACAAGGAGAAAGCTGAGCTACTAGGTAAGAAGCTTTCAAGTGGGAGTCATTTAGATGAAATACACAAACAACAGAACAACTAGTGATGTAACTAAGAAAAAAAGATAATGATGAATCGGCACTTGACATGGACTTCTCATTACATGAATTAAAAATGGTCCTAGAGGGAAGTGGAAATACAGCTCCAGGACAAGATAAACTATGCTATGCTATGTTTAGACAATTACCAAAAGAAGTCTTGGAAATTAAACTAAAACCGTTTAATAAGATATGGAGTGAAGGTGTAATGCCTGACAGTTGGAATAGTGATACTACCTTTTGGTAAACCTGGTAAAGATACAACAAATGCAGGAAACAAAAGACCTATAGCCTTGACATCGCACTTGTGTAAATGGATGGAAAAGATAATTGTCTGTAGATTGTCATACTATTTAGAGCAAAAAGGACTGCTAAACAAATACCAAAGTGGATTTCGTAAAGGAAGATCTACGATAGACGCTTTAGTTAAAGTTAGCAATGAGGCAGAAAAGGCAGTTAGTAGAAAGAGGTCATGGCTATAGTATATTTTGATATTGAGAAAGCTTATGATTCAATGTGGAGAGGACTATTGATAAAAATGCATAAAATGGGTGTTGGCAGAAGGCTATATAACTGGGTTTTAGACTTCTTGTCTAAAGTTGGAGATGCTGTGTCGGAGGATTTTGAAATTGAAAATGGTATTCCTCAAAGGACCGCTATAAGCCCTATCCTGTTTAAAATTATATTTTTATAAATGTTGGTAGAGATATTGAATCATCACTTTATGCAGATGATGGGGCTATATGGAAAAGAGTGAAAAACATTAGACTTGTGACTAATAGCATACAGAGTGCTATTTTAAAAGTTGAAAGATGGTCATATGATTGGGGATTTAAGATGTCAGTCGCAAAGTCATGCTATATGTTCTTTACCAGAAAGAGAAGGATTAATAATGCACAGCTTAAACTGTATGAACAAAATATGGAAAGAGTGAAAGAGTTCAAGTATCTAGGATTGTGGTTTGATGAGAAATGTGTATGGAGGAATCATGTTAAACAGGTTGAAACAAAATGTAAAAAGGTTCTGAATCTCATGAGGTCAGTTTCTGGCTACCAATGGGGAGCAGATAAACAATCACTACTAGATATTTATAGGGTCTTAATATGATCGTGTATTGATTATGGGTGTATGGTATATGGAGCAGCAGCCAATAGTATTTTAGAAAAATTAGACAGAATACAGTTCAGAGCTCTAAGACTCAGTATAGGTGCAGTGAAAACAACCCCTACTAATGCACTGCTGGTAGAAGCTGATGAATTGCCATTATATTTAAGATGTTCTAAGTTGTCTTTAGCATATTGGGTCAAGTTACAAGGATCTGGAGAGGAACAACCTGCAACAAAGGTTCTGTGTGACTGTTGGGAATACATAACAACAGGAAGGTAAAGGATTTGGTTGGAATATTAATGCAGTAGCAGAAGAATACGGATTAAATAGCATAGACTATGGACCAACTACTGTATGGGGTAATGTTCCTCCTTGGATATTTCCTGTGCCCAATGTGGACTTGAAGCTTCTAGAGAAGAAGGAAGAATGGAGTGAAAGTAATGTGGTTAATATTGTATATTTTGTTCAACATTATCTGAAGAGGAATTATTATTAATAATTATATGCTATTATTTATTTATTTTTGATGGATCAAAAGATCCAGGGAGTGAACATGTAGGATCAAGAGCATACATACCTGAGTTTGATGTTGTTATATGTAAAATAATAAATGATAAATTATATGTATATATAGCAGA